TTCTATGCCTTTACGACCTGCTGTTAACTCAAATCAACCCCTAGAGGTCATAGTCCAGTGAGAAAAGAGGCTTCTTCCTCCCCCCTCAGGGTTGTTTTATTTTACATATTGAGTTTAAGATGGCAGTCTGACTTCTAACCGCTCTCCCATCTTTAAACCAGGAGCAGGTAGTGGCTCCACCAGAGCCCGAGCCAGCCCCCATCCCAGCCCCAGAGACCAAGCCCCCTGCTGCTTCCCCTCCTACCCCAGAGGATCCTGACATGACCTGGGAGGACAAGGAGGACAAGGAGGACAAGCGGGACACTGAGAACATTCAGCCGGATGACAAGAAGTACCAGTACAAAGAGGGTGGGTCTCTGGACCTTGATACCTTTCGGCGTGAACATTCACGAGTTGGCGACGCGTCAGTCGGAGCACGTTGATGTTTGCTTTGTTGGAAGGAGGGCGTGGCGTTTCACCTGATTGTGCTTCTGTTGATACGAGTGTTCAGTGGAAAACGATAGTTATGTGATGGCAACGAAGCATATTTGAACAATAAGCTCAAGAAGAAGATTAAACGGGGAGATTTTTAATTTATAGATGCATTGTAGGTCATGACCGTTAGCCTCCTTGAAGCTTTGCTCTATTATATATAAACACAAAGAAATCAAAGCAAATGAGAATAAGTAATTTCAGCATGTTTTTTACCAGGTTCTTTACTGTCATTGTACAACAGGGTTGCACAACAAAACACAAAAACACCTCATTAAAAACTGACTTAATTCAACTTCAATGTACCCAAGATGGATTTTTATCTGAAACGAAACGGGCCATATATACGAGGGGTGGGAATCACCAGAGATCCGTGATACGATATTATCACGATACTGCGATATTCTGAGTATTGCGATGACAAAGGCCTATATTGACGATTTATTACTTTTTTCAACTTCAAATTATGTCCCCAAAGGAAAACTGTCAACATGTTTTATCTAATAAGATAAAGTTTTCAGTCTGTTCATCTCACTTCAATCATTTTTATTGCAGCCAAATAGGATTGTCAAGCACAGACAGACCAACAATGTCATAAATGTTGCATGAACCTGACAAACTGAACTGTTTGTATTACTACATAGTCCAACCTAACTAAATGCAAACGTGTGGACTCAGTATATGAACTATAACTTATATAAGTAGGATATAAGAGTTATATAACTCAGTATAACCTGCGATGCATGGACGTCAAGGGCAGAGGCAGTTATGCGCTGCACTCTCCCCATGAGCCTGGCTACTGTTGGCAGATTTGTTCTCTTTGTTTTGACCAACTTCCTACCAATCACGCTGACCCGGGACCTTTCCTGACCTTTTTTTTTTCTTTTTATAGTTTATATAATAAAAGATCGATACTTGGCGTCCGTGTATCGATACAATATCGCGATACTATGCTGTATCGATTTTTTTCCCCACCCCTAATATATACTGTACTATACATGCGTTTATTAATTCATTTATTTTCCAGCCTATCTGCCACCTTGTGGACATTGAGGCGCGACAATATCTACGGTTATAATGACCTGGAGTCACTTGCTCTCTTATTCTGAAGTAAAGCTCGGCTGAGGGAAAATGTATCTTTAAAAAATTTGATCTGCTCATTTATTTTTCTTCCTGTTTTTTGGTTTCTCTTTCAGAACAATGGAAGCCAATCGACCCGGAGCAGAAGAAGCATTATGACCGAGAGTTTCTTCTGGGCTTCCAGTTCAGCTCAGCCAGCATGAGCAAGCCCGAGGGTCTGCCAGCCATCAGTGACGTGGTCCTGGACAAGGTGCCACATCTCGCACCATCTTTCATTTTTAAAGTTATATTTGCCCGGAAGCACTGATGGGGATGTAGTTAATGTCCCCGCGACTGGAAACATAAATAGACATAAAGATGACAGCATTATATGTTCCAGAATATCTAAATAACGTTTCACTTTGTTTATTTCTTTGTCTTTTCAGGCTAATAAGGCCCCACTGCGTCAACTGGACCCCAGTCGTCTTGCGGGAATGAACTGCGGCCCCGACTTCACACCCTCCTTCGCCAACCTCGGCAGGCCTGGAATGGGAGGGGGAGGCGGAGGCGGCGGTGGTGGCAGAGGACCAGTAAGTTTAACATCTTCTCAATGTGATCCTCCGAGAGCTCTGCGCTTGAAAGTTCACGGTGTCTTTCTTCCTTTCCCCCTCTTCTTCTTCTGACCTGCAGCCTCCGGGTATGGGCATGGGGGTCGGCGGTCCGCGTCGCTCTCAGCAGATGCCGCGCAAAGATTTGAGGAAAATCATCACCACCATGTCGCTGGGCGACGACGTGCAGCTGAACAAGGCGGAGAAGGCCTGGAAACCTTCGGCGAAGAAACCCGTCCGCACCCGCGCGGCGGAGGAGGAGCAGCCTGAGGAGAACGAGTCAGAGCACGCCAAGACCCAGGAGCTGTTCAAACGGGTCCGCAGCATCCTCAACAAACTGACCCCGCAGAAGTTTCAACAGCTCATGAAACAGGTGGCGGAACTGACTATTGACACTGAGGAGAGATTGAAAGGAGTCATAGATCTCACCTTCGAGAAGGCGATCTCTGAGCCAGACTTTTCGGTGGCCTACGCCAACTTGTGCCGCTGCCTTATGGGGGTAAGTGGTGCCACACACACATAATGGAGATATGTGTTGAATAAGCTTGAATGTTCGCTCAAGGACCGTTTGAATTTCGGTATTTACTCCTCCAGTTGTCCACATCTTGCTATGATACACGTTAAATGATAAACTCCGTAAATTTAATTTCTGCAGAGACACAAGACAATAGTTTAAAACCTCAGACTATTTGTTTTGACTATCTACTTTTCTGGAGACTAAAACCAATTTTACATATTTTTTTAATATAATTTTGAAGATTATAAACACATCATTCGTCCCGCTGGGAAAAAGGTTCCCCAAGATACTATCAGTCAAAGGAGACAATAAATGCCTTTACACACTGTCGTGACAAATACATGACCCTAAAATCAAAACTATTCATACTACCGTTCATTCATACTATTCATAACTATTCATACAGTAGCCTAAAGCTACTGTAAGCTATTTTATCGAGTTTCCTTTTAGTGAAACTGCTCTGAGTTCCCTCTGTTAAACAGTTACGCAGTGGACATGTCCAAGGCTTTTATTGTGAAAGGTAAGAACAGCTTCCTTTGTCACAAGGTTGAAAGGAGTAATAATGTTTGCGGTCTTGGTTCGGACTACGGAGCCTATGTGTTGTATGCGATGGAGCACATTTTGAATATGTTTGTTCAGCACAACGTGATTGGTCGATGCTTTTAATCGCAGTGCGAAAGCTTTTTTTGTAATATTCGCGTTCTGTTTGAAAGTACTCATGACAAATATAATATTTATTGCACGAAAAAAAGCACCTTCGCTGTGTGTAAAGGCCTTTATCCTCATTCTTGAAGCCTTTTCTCTCATCAAAGTGAAGATTAAAGTGCTTCCTCCAAAGCATAACCTAAAACCCATAATATACTGCAGCTTGTTCACATACTTGCAGCTATTAAGCCTTTGAAAAGTGGTCAGAATAGTCTCCCGTGGCTGTTAGCGGTCTGTCCGACTCTCTGTTTGAAGCACGTTTGAATTTCTCAGCTGCAAATTCCAAATCTGACGAGCACTTTTTATTTTTTGGGTTAGTTGTCATCTGTGTTAATGTGTTTGACATCTTGAATTCTTCTTCGAGGATAATAAAACCACATTAATTGTGATGATTATTCACTGATTGTAGGTCAAATGACTGTTTTTACCAATGGAGTCTGGTGGCTTTGAAGAAATATAGCGAACACTTAAACTAGATTTTTATTCTAGGCTGGCCTTTCTTTTAGGTGTCTGAAAGACACTTGGCTGCTCTGGATAAATTACTTGTACGACCCTCTTAAAATAAATCCAAACTCTCCCTTTAAGTTCAAACAGCGGCCCAGGTGATTGAGGAAATGAGGAGTGACTCACACTACATGTCACTGCACCCTGTCGTCTTTTTAAATGTCTTTTTATTCCTCCGTTCTCTTTCAGCTTAAAGTCCAAACCACAGATAACCCGGGAAACACTGTGAACTTCCGCAAGCTGCTGCTAAATCGATGCCAGAAGGAGTTTGAAAAGGACAAAGACGATGACGAGATCTTTGAGAGGAAGCAGAAGGAGCTGGAGGCTGCCACAGTGGTACAGTACTGCCTCATAGCATACCGGTTGGGGGGCACTAAAAATAAGTCATGCTGGTCGTTGTGTGCGTGTATCAGGATTTTCCATACAACCAACCACCCCTCCTCTAAAATGTCCCTTTCTGTCCCCCCGTTGTGACATTGTTTTCTCTGGCAGCCGGAGGAGAAGCAGCAGCTCACTGTTGCGCTACAAGCCGAGAAAGACATGGCCAGGAGGCGCTCGCTGGGCAACATCAAGTTCATCGGAGAGCTGTTCAAGCTCAAGATGCTCACGGAGGTCATCATGCACGACTGCATTGTGAAGCTGCTCAAAAACCACGACGCAGAGTCCCTGGAGTGCCTGTGCAGACTGTTGTCCACCATCGGCAAGGACCTAGACTTTGAGAAGGCCAAGGTACAACACACACACGGTTAGATGGTGTGATGAGGAGGATACATGCATGCTGATAAATGTGCAGTTGGATCGTAGTGCAGGAGATACTCACCAACCTGTTGTGGTCCTCCTCAGCCTCGTATGGACCAGTACTTCAATCAGATGGAGAAAATAATCAAGGACAAGAAGACCTCGTCCAGGATCCGCTTCATGTTGCAGGATGTGATCGACCTCCGACGGGTAACGCGTCTGCACGACACAAACGCATCACTTAGCGTACACAACTCAAACCTACAGCACGTGAGATGATGGTGGTCCAAGCAGCGAGCAGACAGCCGTCACTGCCGAGCTTTGTTGCCAAAATATCTCCGTTTAGACGTCCAATATAAAAGAAAAGTCAAAACATTGTCACTAACTAACTCAATATCAAAGGTACGGATTTTAATGCCAGACTGTTAAAATATATTCTCTTATACACCCAGATACATTACTAGGGATATTTTTGGCTTTTTCATCTTTTGATCATTTTGGCTGTTAAATATTTGGCATGGTGTTAGTTTTTTAAAAATGTATATCTATCTATAATAAGTCTACAATAAACGGTTTAACTGTTGAACACACACTTTGTTGTTCCCTTTCTAGGCGAAGGCTGGAGAGTAACAAGGTTGTTGTTCCCTTAATGAGAAAGTGTAGCAGGAATTGGTGATATGGACAGAAAAACGACACTAACATTTACAGATTTTAAAAACTTTTTGAGGGCGGCTGTGGCTTAGGATGCCTTTAGGTAGAGCGAGTCGACCAATCGGGAGATTGGCGGTTCGATCCCCGGCTCCTCCGGTCCGCATGTCAAAGTGTCATGAACCCCAAATTGCTGCATTTAGATTAGATCCCGATGAGCTGCATTGAATGGTGATGTGTAGCTTTAAGCGCTTTGAGTGGTGGGAAGACTAGAAAGGCCACTTACCATCCATTTGATTGACTTTTTTATTTTACTATACGAAACTTCATGTCAAAAAAGGGAAACTGTCGACGTCCCCTCCGCCCTGTACTCACAATGTCTCCCCCCCACAGAACAACTGGGTGTCCCGACGAGGCGACCAGGGCCCCAAGACCATCGACCAGATCCACAAAGATGCCGAGCTGGAGGAGCAGAGGGAGCAAATGAAGGTGCAAGCCCTCTTCTCCAAGAAGGATATGGGCGGCGGTGGCGGAGGCAGGATGGGTGGAGGAGGAGGAGGAGGAGGAGGTGGAGGAGGTCGCGGGGGCTCTCACACCCCCGGCCGTGGCTCTCAACCCCAGGACGAGGGCTGGAATACGGTGCCCATCTCCAAGAACCGACCCATCGACACCTCTCGTCTTAGCAAAATCACAAAGGTAGGAGAGAGGAAATTTACTTTGACCCTTTTTCATCACTTCACCTGTAATAAGACATATCAGAGGTATCTGTTAATGTACTTAATCGTCATTAATGTTTGTAGTTTTAGCAGGAAGTGTGTGTGTGTATATAACCTTCAGTTTCTTCTTTCCAGACTCCTGTTCTTGACTTCAACAATCAGTTGCTCGCTCCAGGTGGTAAAGGCACATGGGGGAGCTGGGGGAAGGGCAGCAGTGGCGGCACCACTGCCAAACCTGCAGAAGCTGGTAGGTTTCACAGCCCGATGTGATATTTAGTTGAGCGACTCACAGCTTAAAAACTCAACACGTACTATGTCGTGTATTTTTCAGGCTCAGCCCCGGAGCCAAGCGGCCGTCCGGCCACCAGCACTGTGAACAGGTTCTCAGCCTTACAGCAGTCAGCACCGTCCTCGGCCTCTTCTCTGGAGTCGGACAGACGAGTTCCTCAGAGGTGAGAAACGGGACCCAATTCCCCAAGAGTACTCAGACAGAATCTCTCTGTACCAAATGCACAGTGCGACAATACAGAGTTTACGGTTGTGTCTAGAATGGGCTAATGACTGAGCTAATTGTTGCTGCAAATGTATTTTAAAGATTTTGGAACTGGATTCTCACACAATAATCAAAAAGACTCGATAAGAGTACTGGAATATAAATCCTACCAATACCCTATAAGTGTTTTCTTTCCCTGACTCTGCTCTCCCTCCGTCCCTCTGCAGAAACAGCTCGAGTCGAGAGCGCAGCGATCGCTTCGACCGTTCCGACCGAGGCGGCGACCGCTTCGACAGGCGGGACGACCGCGACCGTAACCGACTGCAGGTCACCAAGCGCAGCTTCAGTCGGGAGAACGAGGAGCGGAGCCGGGAACGGGAGCAGCGCGGGTCGGCCGATACCGTCCGCCGGGTAGCGAGCATGACAGACGACCGAGGCAGCAGAGACAGAGCCAGGAGCAAAGAGAACGGTGGGGACCCAAACTCATGTTTAGATACCAGGATTTTCTACAATAGTAAAGCTGTTTTTTATTTAGTTTTTGCTAAATTTACATTTAGATTTCTAGAATATAAATTAAAAAATTTTTGATTTGTGTGTGTGAACAGTAAAGCGTGAGAAAGCTGCAACCCCTCCACCTCCCCCGACCCCCACCAAGCCCGCCTTGACCGAGGAAGAGCTGATCAAGAAGTCCACAGCCATCATCGAGGAGTACCTCCACATCAACGACATGAAGGTATGCACCGATATGCCAATGAACATGAGAAGAACCCGTTATGTGCAGGATGGAAAATGGCTCAACAAATGACCTGCTTCGCGACAGAAAGCGCTGCACATGGTCTTGTCCGTCCTTACCTCGATGTCTTTTCCTTGACTGCCTCACAATAAAAGGCACGATGTAGTTTCTGTTTAGTAATTTGAAGCTGCAGAAGCAGGAAATGTTCGGTTTGGATTAGCAGAAACAAATACAACTCTAAGAGGCCTGTTGATGCACAGAGAGGCGCCTATCAATCAGATATAATTACAAACCGTAAAGCTGAATTACCTGCCTCTATTATTTCCCTCCTTGTTAGTGTATATTACAGACACAGTTGCATCCTTACAACGATCTGTGTGTGTCCCTCTCTGTCCCGACAGGAGGCTGTGCAGTGTGTGCAGGAGATGAACAGCGCTCAGCTGCTCTTCGTGTTTGTGCGAAACGGGCTGGAGTCGACGCTGGAGCGCAGCACCATCGCCAGGGAGCACATAGGCCTGCTTCTGCAACAGCTCATTAAGAGCAACATCCTCCAAACACAGCAGTACTACACCGGGTCAGTGAGGACTTCCTTTATAATGTAGTTATGTGTATGTTGTGTGCAGGCGGCAACCTCCGGTTCTGAAGAGTGAAGCCGAAGCGGAAGTGTCTTAAAACCTGCATTCTCTCTAGTGTCCACCAGGGGGCGACTCCTCTGGTTGTATAGAAGTCTATGAGAAAATGACTCTACTTCTCTCTTGATTTATTACCTCAGTAAACATTGTAAACTACTGTGTGTGGGCTACACAGTGATTGACAGGTCTCTACCAGAGACTATACGGTGTCTCTACGTCACTTCCTCCACAGTCCAGATATGGTCACTTCCTGTTCACTGGTTGCAAAAAAGCCAAGATGGCGACGGCCAACACACCAGACTCAAGACTTCAAAACATCAGTCCACTACGTCTACTCCTTATATACAGATATAAGTTTGGGAAACTTCCTGTATCCCTAAAGTAATCCCGTGTGATTCAGACTGCAATGAAACTCTTCGGTTTAAAAAAAGATCATCATAATCTCCGGCCTCTCTCTGACCAGCGTGTACTCGAACAGATAAAGAGGATCCTCTGTAATCCATCCCACATTCTGTACTCTGTGTGAGCTCAGAGATCACAGGTGTGAATTCAGTCCTTTAGAGAACTCCTTTTAAAGCAGTAGCTTAAAATAAGTGGAGGGTACATCGGCTGTAACGGGGTACGAAGACTACACACTGATACCTCAGGGTGCGTGTGTCCTTACCTCTATTGCATTTTTCTGTCCTCTTTAATGTCTTTTGTTTGCTTGTGCCGAGATGTGTTGAATGTCCCATTGGGACAATAAAGAATATATCTGCCTATCTAACTAAACAGAGTGCATGTAATGAGTAAAGATACAAGTCCAAGAGCGAGTGCTGTTGGACCGAACACTTCAAGTTGTTGCCAGAAGTCCAGTTTATAACAGCAGGACTTCAGATGAACAGAAGCCCGCAGGGGAGACGTTGGCTTCAGCGAGTGAACTATGCTTAGCCAAAAAAGAAAAATCCATACGTTTGTGTCGATGTGGTGCCATATTGCTCCGTTTACCCATCTGCTCTCTGAACTACTTCTGCATCCTTTAAACCTTGAATAAACTTCTGCTCCACGTGTGTGTGTGTGTGTGTGTGTGTGTGTGTGTGTGTGTGTGTGTTTCCGTGTTTCCTCAGGCTTCAGGAAATCCTGGAGGTGGCTGAAGATATGTCCATAGACATCCCCCACATCTGGCTGTACCTGGCAGAACAGATCACTCCCATGCTCCACGAGGGAGGCATCCCCATGGGAGAGCTCTTCAGGTCAGTCCCAGGCCTCACTTGACTCCCTTCGGCATGTTTGGAAAAAAGTGGAAATCTGCCAGAGAAGATAACCTTTTGGCTGTTTGATGTCTAATGGGTGACTTTTTCTTTTTTTTCCTCCAGGGAGATTACAAAGCCTTTGATCCCTCAGGGTCAGGCTGGAGTCCTGCTGGTCCAAATCCTCACTTTACTCTGCAAAGGAATGGTGAGAACCGATCAACTATAATCCTTTATCGATATTATATTGTAAAAAAAGGTTTTTAAAATCAGTTCCAGCTGCTAAAGTTTATGAACATTTGAAACCAGCGATGGTGTGATCAGCTAATGTGTCCCGTAAGTCTACAACCAATATGTCTGTCCCTCATTAGAGCCATAAAAAGGCGCGCACGATGTGGAGGCAGGCTGGCCTCCGATGGAAAGACTTCCTCCCCGAGGACGTGGACGTCAACAAGTTTGTGACAGAACAGGTAAGGGGTCGCTCACCAGCTTCAGCCGAGGGAGTTTGCTACAAAATTAAGTTACTGTGATGAACTTTTAAGTGGTCCTGAACCAGTCTCGGTTTAGTCCTGATCCTCTATCAGTAAACGAGACCATCAGAGAGAAGATGGACTTTTGTTTTCAGGCAGTAAAACCTGGTAGAAGTCAGTCGAGGTGACATGAAGATGTGCATAAAGCCTGTTTCTGCCTCCGTGGCGTTAACTAGGACGTGGAGTTCACGCTGGGTGACGAGGACGACAAGGAGGAGGAGGAGGAGAGCAAAAAGAAGGAGCTGAGCTCTGCAGAGCTGACCAAACAGCTGGAGAGACTGATCCAGGACAAGGCCGACAACCAGAGGATCTTTGACTGGGTCGAGGTTCGTATCCCTGTGTGAAATTCAGAGGAATCTTTTCCTTCCGTCTTTGTTTCCATTTGGTTACATTCACAGTCTTCACCTCTTTAAAATGAGACGTTGGTCGTGTCTTTGTATGCACCGCATTCATTTCAGGGAGGAAAGTAAAGCGATGACTTGTCATGACTGTGCAATTCAGACACAAACACGAGACCAAGGCTGCGGTCGGATGGTCTTTTTTTTCTTTTCTTAGAGAAGTTTCACTTCACTGAAGTATCTTAAGTGGCAGCCTCGATAAGAGCCGGTCGAACCCTCTAAATGCGAAGAAAAGGTGGTTCAATGCTTCCTTTCTTATCTCCTCTAGCTTGAAGTGCATTAGACCATCCTTTACCAAAGGAAAGGAGATCATCTCAACACACAATTCTTTGTGGCAGCAACATTTAAAGCGACGCAGCATTCGTCTATATTCCTTTTCTATTTCTAACCTTGATAATGAAGTCATATCTTTAACCGAGCTGTTTACATGAAACAGCGCTAAGAATGCACGAAGAGAAGCATCCAAGATGTGCTTTAAATAGGCCGAAGTCCATAATCCGCGTGACATAATTACGTAGTCGGATTCTCTCAGCTCAACAGTTGTTCTTAAGTCCTGAAGACCTCGTGATGTTTTCCGTCAAGGAAAAGTGGTTAGGAAACATTTTTAGTATTTGACTGCAGCCCAGATCTGACTACAATTCACCTTTTTGCAGAGGAATGTTTTATTCGAGGTGTGCATGTAAGACCTTTAAGAGAAGCTACTGAACCCGACAGTGTGTTTTATTAGTCACCTTGGTCAGAAGAAGTTGCTCAAGTCAGTTCAGAGCAGCTGCTGATTGCAACGAAGCAAACGGACTTACCTACAAAAAAAACTCAGTTTAGATGTTTAACAGGTTTCCAACACGTTGCTGCTACAAGTTTTTGTTTTTCTGCACGTGTGTAAATGAATTTGTCCTTTTGTAGGCCAACCTGGACGAGCAGCAGACCTCCTCCAACATGTTCGTCAGAGCTCTGATGACCTGCGTCTGCCAGTCAGCGGTCGTCTGTGAGTCAGCGTGCACCCTTTACACCCCTCAATAAAGCCTACAAACATGGCACCCAATTAAAGATGAAAGGGATATTAATAATCCCTATGGTGCTGGTGTCGATGCAAATATGCCTGCAAGTAACTAGATTTAGTCTCCTTTGCATCATGAACTAAACTCTGTCTTCACCCGTAGGTGAGAACCCCAACAAGGTGGACGGCGAGCAGATCAAACAGCGAGCCAAGGTGCTGCAGAAATACCTGCTGGACGAACAGAAGGAGCTGCAGGCGCTGTACGCCCTGCAGGGCCTCATGGTGCAGCTGGAGCAACCTGCCAGTGAGTTCATGTTCTCCTTCCTCTTACCACTTTCAGAGACGCTGATGTTTGTTTTCAGCTAAAATAATGCAGACAGAATTACTTTTCCCAGACGTAAATGATATGAAACTGGCTTTACCGATGCTCATTTGTTTGATGATTATACATTCATAACAAACAGTTTTGAATATTCCAGTAAGTCCCCCTGAATCCTACACACGGCTTGTTGGAGCCATTTTTGTATTGTGTTCATTATGTGTCTGTATATAAAGTACTATGTAGGTGGTACGGGGGAAATACTAATAGTTGAGTCAGTAATCACAGAGTAGGTGTGTTGTTTTCCGGAAGAGGCAACGCCGCTCCTTTAAATCGAGTTCAAAGTGTCCTGAAATGTCTTGTGAACGTTCCCCGTCTCTCGTCCCCGCTTCAGACCTGCTGCGGATGTTCTTCGACACCCTTTACGACGAGGACGTGCTCAAGGAGGAGGCCTTCTACAAGTGGGAGTCGAGCAAAGACCCCGCCGAGCAGCAGGGCAAGGGCGTGGCCCTGAAGTCCGTCACCGCCTTCTTCACTTGGCTCCGCGAAGCCGAGGACGAGGACGAGTCCGACAACAGCTAAAGGGCCCCGCTGGGAGGAACTGGTGGGAGTTCAGAGAGGATCCTTTTGGGGGGTGGGGGAGCGGACGTTCTGTGGATGATTCAGAAGACCCTGAATCAGCAAAAACCTTCTGCATAAACAGCAAGAAAAATAAAATCTTCAACTGGGAGAGATTGTATTTTGGATCGAACGTTCGATCATGTTACTTTTTCTTTGGTTTATTTTTTTTGTTATTTGGGTTTCTTGTTTTTTTCCTTGCGCAACTGAATGTCTTTTTTTGAAATAAATAAAAATACAGGATTAAATAGCGAGAGTAGATACGAGAGAGAGTGCTGAGAAGCGTAGCGAGCCGCGGGAGATAAAAGCTGTTTCCTTCAGTATTTTCTTTTTTTTTTTGTTTATCTCCTGTTTTCAAATGGCTCGTCCTCGCAAACACAGCAACACTATTCAAGACACTTTGCTTAACGACAGATTATAAGAGAAACTTAAAGGCTGTTCACATTTATATTTTTGATGACTTCATCCTTTATCGTGTGAACGCGACGCCGTGGCATTTGTCGTGTCACACGCGCGGCGTTTGGTCTACATGAGGCGCTCATGTAGACTAACTCTTTTTTGTTAACTTTTTTTTTTTTTTTTTTTTT